GAGACAGAGGCAGAGGCAGAGGCAAAGGCAGAGACAGAGAGAGACAGAGACAGAGACAGAGGCAGAGGCAGAGGCAAAGGCAGAGACAGAGCTGTTAGAGATCTCAGAAGGGGTTGTGACAGGCGCCGATCGAAAAGTATTTGGCGCCATTGCGCCTACACAAAATAACCCTAACCGTGTTTACTGTAAAGTAAAATACCCCGTAGCCATGCTGACATTTGCTTGCCTCCAAAGTCTACCAACTTTTACACTATACCTCATTAAAAGTGTTAAAAGTGTGACTTTGGTCACACTATCTCATAGACCACCCCGACAACGAGCGAAAAACCGGACGACGCGTTTGTTCTTCAATTTTTTGTATTTTTTTTCGACGCTGCGCGCTCTTTCGGTTGCTTTCGGTAGCTCGCTCGCTCGCTCGGTCGGTTGCTTGATCGTGTGCGGGGAGTGGCGCCACGGCTCCTTGGTTTCCCGTGCCTCGTCACGGCTTGGGCATGGAAGAGCCTTGAGTGCCGGTTCCTCTTTGAGATAAACACCGCTGGCAAGGCCTGTGCTTGATTTGTCTGCCAAGCCCGGCTGTGACCAGCCACCATGGCTGTAGAGCCCGAGGCCCCAGGCATGCAAAATTATGAGCGCCTCAAGCAGATCGGGTCAGGCTCGTATGGCAGGTAAGATCCAATCCGTTGGCCCACGCGCTTGGTGCCTCAGCTTTTGCTCAACAGTCTCGCATCTGCTTGTTGCCCCACCATCTGAACAGCTGCATCCTGGTGAAGCGCCGGCGCGACAGCCAGCTGTGCGTCATCAAGCAGATCCAGCTGGAAAACATGACCCCGCAAGAGGAAGAAGAGGTTGGCATCAAGCATGGTGCTTCTTTTGTTGGGTCCCTGAGCACTTCAGTCCACCTGACTGCTTTTTATGCTTCCGTCTCACCCTCGGCCGATAGGTCCGCATGGAGGCTCGCATCATGATGTCCCTCCGCCATAGTAACATTGTGGCCCTCGTTGATCCAACGTCAGTCCAATGAGATATGCCTGCCTGACGACGCTCGTCTTTCTTTCTTGGTCTCATTGCCATCACTCTTACACCCTCGCTTCTCCACTGCCTGTTGCCATGCCGGTTCCTCCTTCCTCTCTCCATGGGCTCTTGATCTTCGCTACTGCCCCACACAGGTTTCGTGTGGGCAGTGTGCTTCACATGGTCATGGAGTACGCCGAAGGTGGTGACATGAGTCGGGCTATAGAAGGCCAGCGACGCTTGGGGGCCCGCTTCTCCGAGAAGAAAATCATGAACTGGTGCGCAGCTGTTTGCCACGACTCGAATGAACTCGACGAACCTGACTGACGGCATCGCACGCTGTTGACGCATCCTCATGGCTCCTTCATCACTGCCTCTTCGCAGGCTCGTGCAGCTAGTGGCAGCGCTGGCTTTTGTTCATTCAAAGAACATTTTGCACCGAGATATCAAAGCTCAAAACGTCTTCCTTACACGTGGAGGTTCGTGCCACCTGGGCCACTGTGCTCGCAAAGCACCCCGAACGTGACAGGCTCTGATAATGTAGCTTGCTTCACCTTCAACTTTAAACCACACCGGCCTGTCTCGTTTTCGGACATGATCGGGCGTAGGCATCGTCAAGCTTGGTGATTTTGGCATCTCCAAAGTTCTCAACTCTCAAACCCAGCTTGCTTCGACCATCATTGGCACGCCTTATCATCTGTCACCCGAAATCTGCGAGGTATTGGACTCATGCTAGCCCCTTTTGTAGCAAGCGCTAAAGATCAAGGATATGAATTCTCGACTGGTCCTTACATGGCGCATGAACTGTCAGGACAAACCATATGGCAAGAAGTCAGACGTTTGGGCTCTGGGCTGCTTGCTCTACGAAGTGTGCATGCTTCGCAAAGCCTTTAATGCCCAAAGCTTTCCTGCCTTGGTCATGCGGATTATGCAAGGTTTGTTCGTTTGTCCACGCATGTACACCTGGTGTCGTTGGCCTGCGGCACGGCAATCATCGTGACACAGTCCTCATCTTGTGCATGGTCTCCATCGCTGCATGTGGCTTGCAACAGGAAAATTCTTACCTCTCAGCGACAGCTATTCCGATGGCCTACGAGATGTTGTGGAGTCGATGCTACGCTCTGAGCCCCAACACCGCCCCTCGTCAGTACACCCCCCCCCCCACCTCAACACACACACACACACACACACACACACACACACACACACACACACACACACACACACACACACGCACTTCTTGTTATCTCTCTTTCGTGAGCTTCACACCTCATACCCAAGCCAACCTCTCACGATCTGTCGTGAATACGCACAATGACCACAGCATGGACGAGACGCTTCATCACCCATTCATCGTAGCGTGGTGTGAAGAGAATCTTGTGCTTCCAAAAGCTCATCGGCGACAAGAGATGGAGGCTATTCATGATGAGGAGTCACGCCGTGAGCGTGCCTCGGTTTCCGAGCCCTCTCCAGCGTCACCACCCCCCGTTGCTAGTCACGTGGCAATGCCTCCAGCTGTCACCTTTGCGGTGGAGCTGGAGCCTGCTAAGCGGTTGGTGACAGTACTCTCCTATTATCTCTTGTGGTGTCTTCGCGCGGCAGGGCGCCGGTCTCATGCTCTCAACTCGGTGGCTGTGATCTATGCAGAGTACCCCCTTCACTTCGCCGTGCCCAGGAGAACGTCGTACCGCCAACGAATGCAAGTAATACAGTGATAAAAACATCAAAAGCTGCTGAGCCCGCGCAAGCACTGCCTTCTAGCGTGTCCTTTGACGTCGAGCTTGCTCCGCCGCGCAGGTAAATGAAAGACACATCTGGAGCATGCAAATGCTGTTTATCATCTACCTCTGCCGCTCTCAAGCTCATATTTCATCCCTTTTTGCTTTTTTTCATGCTTGTTGCATTTTGCAGGGCACCGCAGGCTGGAAAGCAGGCCGATGGTCCTCGCGGCAAAAAGCCGGTCTCTTCGTCGTCAGCGGGCTCTGGTGCCAAGAAGAGTACCAACGAGGCGAACTTGGCGAGCAATACCAGGTCGACAGCTGCGCAAAGATCCACAGGCATCGGTGCAGCACGGAGTCAACCGCAGGCCAGTGTGGCAACGCGTGGTACCAAAGCTCCTTTGCGTACTTCTTCACAGAATCGGACCAGTACCCTCTCTGTGGCTGCATCGGCGCCAGCGGCCAATTTTGGCGCAACAGTAGTGCTTGAGTCTAAGAAGACTCGCTCCAAAACTGGTAGCTCAAGCTCCAGTTCTAGCTCGACGCTCCAAAGCGGCACCAGTACACTTTCCAATGGTCCTCGCTTGACTGCAAATGCCAAAACTTCCACGACAACGGTCCGCAAGTCCAAAGGCGGTCCCAGTACAGCGCAGAGCGCCCCCCGAGGCGTTGCAAGTCGGTCCCTTGATGCCCAGCGGAACGCCATGAAACGCGATGCCAAACAAAAACGTGATGAGGTGTGTGTATGTGTGTGTGTGTGTGTGTGTGTGTGTGTTTGTGTGTGTGCTGGCATGCTAGCGCGTATCAATGGGCACTTATCAAGGCTCGTGCTTGTGAGCTTGTAGGAAAAACGCTCTCTGAAAGAACACGAGCAGCGCCTTCGTGCCCTCAAGTCGAGTACGCTTTGCTTGCTTGGTTTGACTGGCCCACATTGGTGACTGTCACATCTCACCCGCGTCATCGCCGCTGATGAACATTAGACGTGCAATCCAAGTTGCAAGTCCCTCGCAAAGGCGGTATTGCAAAAGGCGGAGGGACAAAGAGTAGCGAAGGACGAAGTGGTGCGTCGGTGCCAGAGACCAGCAAAGCCAAGGCTGCCCCGAAACGCCGAGCAACTTCAGGATCAACGACCTCCAGTCCCGCGGGCTCTTCAAAGACGTCAACCGCTAGCACGCCGGACATGTCTCCCAAGGAGCGAGTGGAGCAGCAGCGGAGTGACTTGCGTCGCCAAATCCAAAAGGCTCGACAGGATGCCAAGCGGAATGGCGCAGGGGCGGAAGTGGCAGTTGAAATTCTGCTCAGCGATCGTGTCCGGCAGTTGCCGACCGAAGAATTTGGCACACAGGATCTTGGGCCGGTCTCTTCACCCACAGTGGGGGCGCCAAAACTGAGTCAGTCTCGTCTGGCTGAGCCAGCATTGGGGGACGCATCAAATGGCGGACCTGAAACGGAGGATTCATCAGGTCTACGCCAAAGTACACAGTCGCTATCGGATGTAGATACTGAGGTTATGGTAAGTGACTGCTCCCAAAGTGCATGTCGTCGCGGTCTGCACGGGGTCGGACGTGCGCGTGAAAACTCGCGCGCTCATCTTGTTTGACCTTTTTCTTTTTTTTTTTTTCTTCTTCTCCTTTTTCTTGCGGGGCTTGGGCTGGTCGGTTGAATATGGATGTGTGTAGCGTGCAGCGGAGACTGTGGTACAAGCGGTCAAGGCGCCGCGGGTTACTGACGAGTCTGAAGAAGAACATGAGGCGAGCCTTGACTCCTTGTCACCCCGCCAGGTAGGGGCTCACTGCCAGGTTGAGTGCGAGCACATGCTGTGTCTTGCTTTGTAGCTGTATTTTAACACCCCTTCCTTTTTTTTCCAACGAACTTTTCTCTTTTCTCTCTAGCCACGGGGCTCGGACGTATTGGACCAAGCTGCTGTTGAAGCACTTGCGCATAGGGCCATGATGGTGCGCGGCGAGCTCCTTCATCGCCTCGGCGAGGCTGTCTTTGAACAGGTGAGCGCTGGCTGCAGGCATTTCTGCGTGCATTGCCATGTCCGTGTTTCGCTTTTTCGTGTTGTTCACCTGGAAGGCCTTTTCTTCCCAATGTAGCTTTATCAAGCGGTGAACGACGCCGCTCAGGAGGGGACCGATGAGCCCTCTGACGAGATTGATAGTGAAGCTGGCGACGATGCTATTTTGCCCAACACAGAGCTACTTGCTCACTTGCATAGCTTGTTGGGAGCGGCTCCAGAGCCTGTCCGAGGTCGGTGATACTTGGTTCACCCCTCCAGTTACCCGTCTCTGTGGACTTTTGTTCTGTTTCGGCATTCACTCACTCACGCACGCACGCCTGTTCATCGTCTTCTGCTCCATGATGGGCATGGGCAGACGAACAAGGGGTGATTCGCAAGTTGATGCACCTCCAGTACCTTGAGGGCCAAGTTCTTGGCCATGAGATCGTCGGCGCCTCATCGGCCGAAGCGAGCACGCCACCAAAGCGCCTGATTTTAGGATAGCCATTTGTTCCTCTTCTTTGATTTACCGTTTCCCTACTAATCTATTCATCGAGCTTGTTTGTTGGCCCAGCCCTTTGACTTTGGGTCCAGGTTTCCTCCGCCTCGACCGCGGTGCCCGCGCCTCGAAAAGTGTCGCGAATCTCGCGCGAGCAAAGTTACCGCATGTGGAGAGGAAGATGCAGTTTTGTATAGCAGCTCAGTGTTGACTCGAGAAGGGGTTTGAGCAGTTGTTAACGAAGCAGATGACATCAAACAAACCATTTGCGCCATCTCAGCAACCTCAACTAGAAATGAGCGCCATAAACCACAAAGTCATCTTCATATTGTATGTAAGTAAACATTAACAATGCTACAACTTCTTCATAATACTCTACAATAACTGAGAAGATGACAGCGACAACTGCGAGTATCGCGACGATAACTGCATTTAAACGACGAGACCGACAGCAGCACGACAACTCGACACGACGACGACGACGACGACGTGCGCGCGTCGATCTGTTTGGCAAACACGGCAGCGCGAGCCGGTTGGTTCAAGAGGCATGGGCTTGGAGCTGGAGCTTGGGGCTGGAGACCTTTGCGTAGTAGCAAGGATCAAGGCATGGTGAGGGGTTTTTGGAACGGCAGGGCTGAGAGCATCGCATGAGCTGCGTCTGCTGCTTGAGCCAATCAGCGGAGACAGCGGTCGTCAGGGGCTCGCCCCTGCTCGAGTCAGCGGCCTGGTGCGACCTTGGCGCCGTCTTTGGGGCCTGCTTGATCGAGACTTTGAACAGGGGCAAGGGACGAGCTTACAATGTCGGATGCGCGATTGACGATTCACCAGCCGCTGCTCGTCCCAGATGATGAGCCCGAACTGGAGGGCCTGGGTGAATCCTGGGATGCCGATTCGGGGCAGGTTCGAGCATTGCCCCTCGCCAATCGTGATGAGGTCTTTGAGCTCCTGTGCAAGGCCTACGAGCCCACCGAGGAGGGGCAACGTGCTTCTCGGCAGCTTGACATTGTCATGGACGTCGATGCCACGCTCGTGGTCACGGGTCTGTTGCAACATGCGACCTACCTCATGCTCGAGGGTCGCCACTATCTCAAGTTTCGAAACCACCCCGTCTCGCAAACGCGCGTGGCAGCCTTTCGGTGGCTCTATCAGAGTGTCTGGAATTTTCTCCCTTGGCTTGAAGTCCTTGCTGCTTCGATTCCCCTGCTTCTGACCCTTTTTGAGTTTCCAGCCGTCTTCAAGGTTGGCCGTCAAGTCCGGATTCTCCTGGCCTTTGTCGAGTTATTCTGTCTCCTGGCTTTTGTTGGCATTTACTACTTGCGGAGCCAGGTGGTTGGGGGCTGGTCGGCCTGGTTGCAACGCTTGGGCAACCGTGTGCGCGTTGCCATCTGGCTCTTACTCCTCATCGATGTCATCGTGGCCGTGGCCGATCCAGCTTATGATGCCAGCCGCATACTCCGCCTGGTGCGTCACCTGTTCCGCCCCCGATCGCATTGCCTTCTGTTTGCAGACAACCTGGACTCACTTTTCTTCTTTCCTCTGCTCTCTTGCTGATTTGACTGTTTGGGGTGGGGTCCAGCTTCGGCCATTCTTCCTGGTCGATACCTTTCTGTGCTCGGGTGCGCGCCGGGTTGTCCAGCAAACTCTGTTTACATCCGTGCGCGCCATCGATATGGTGCTTCTATTCATCACCTACGTCCTGTTGTGGAGCATTGTATGTTGCGAAATTGTACTCAGCCGACCATGGGTTTGCCCCGCGGTCTGGAACAGGCCTCAGCTCATCGTCGCTGTGCTCTGTGTAGGTGGCCCATGCCTTCTTCGGGCCAGAAAGCGTGTACGCAACCCACTTGAAGAACAGAACCGCCGCCGCAAACCTTCCTGATGTGGCTGGAGTTGATACACACTTTATCACCTTCAACCAGTCCGTCGTGTCCATGTTCGTGGCCATCACCACAGCCAATTATCCTGATGTTGGCATGCAGACCATGTTTAGTTGGCAACCCAATGCCCTCTTCTTCGTGATTTACATGGTGCGGGGTTTTTTTTCCTTGTTTTTCCCGCATGTCCCCAACCCCAACTTGGATCCAAGATCTCCATCCCCCGCCTTTCCCCATCCATTTTTTTTTCCCGCCTCACCTGCTTTGCCTTTGTCCTTTTGCTCTTGCTTGCGCTGGGCGCGTTGACAGTTTCTTGGCGTTTACTTTGTGCTCAACTTCTTTCTGGCCGTGGTCTATGAGAACTTCTTGAACTTTGAGAACACCAAGCAGTGTTCCATGATCCTGCATCAACGCCGGGCCCTTCGACGCGCTTACTGCCTGGCTGTGCGTGCCAGCGTGCTCGAGCGACGTTTGACAGGCGGTGCCGATGCCGACCGGTTCTCCCTGCAGCCCGATTCTCTGATGGAGGATGCGCATGATGCTGCTGCTGAGTCCGGGGCTACGGCCAAGGATAACGGTTCAGACGCGACACCACCACCCAGTCACGGACATGATGGCAGTGCAGAGAGTGATGAGCACGAACATCTGAAACACGGCAGTCAACTGGTCGTGCGCGCGCTTCAGGATCCCGACAAGCCTTTGCTGACCCGCGATATCTTTGACCGCTTGGTGCTGGGGATCGAGCCTCGTTTGGGTGCAAAGCAGCGATTGCTCGTCTTTGCTTATTTGACGCGTCTGCAGCACCGGACGGACCAGCTGACCCACAATGAACAGTCGCGAGCGAATACGAGCCGGCGCCAGCCGAAGCGCTGCATCTCACTGAACGAGTTTTATGGGGTAAGCGGCCTGTCGCTGGTTGTGCTTGCATATTTATATTGTGGAGGCTAACGTTTGTGCGTACATCGACCATCTGCTTGCCAGCTCTTTGATGCGCTGGAAAACGACTGGGCGTTGGATCGACGAGCCACCTTGCGGCAGGTGACGACAAGTCCTGATCCCTTTGCCTACGGCACAAAAGAACCGTGGCATACCATCAAACGCGCGTGCGCATTTGCCGACACGACCTGGTTCCATCACGCGGTGACGACCGTCATCTTGCTCAATCTGGCCTTTGTCGTGGCCAATGCTAGCAAAGGGCGAGACACGCGTTTCCTGGACGATGGAACCTACGGTGAATGCCACACGCATGTGTGGGAATATGCCTTTTTCGCATTTTATGTCATTGAGGTTTTTGCCAAGTTGGGCGTCTACGGCCGTGTCATCTATTTCAAAGGGTGTGTCAATCGCGGGTCTGCCACCTGAAGATTGGACCTTTACAACTGCACTGCTGAGCTGTCGCGACCACGCTGGTCAATGACGTTGGGATCCTCACTCTTGACTGGTTGCGCGGCTCGGAATGTCCTTTTTTTTTTTTTCCTAGAAAATGGAATCGGTTTGACTTTTTTGTTGTGGCGCTGTCGGCCTTTGGCTTTGTGTTGGAGGCTCTGCTGAGCGCCGATTCGGGCTCATGTGGTCACGGCAAGGATGGCGGATCGCTTGTCCGCGTGGTGGCGGTCGTTTTTCGATGCCTGCGCATGACGCGGGTGGTCCGCATTCGCAAGAGCTTCCGGCATGTTCTGCTGACCATCACTTTTGTGATTCGCAAGATGTTTCGATACATTCTTGTGCTACTGCTGGTCATGTACAGCTTTGCCGTCATTGGGATGGTATGGTTCCACCATACGGTGGCCGAGGACTGCTCCTGGTCTGACCCGACTGCATGGGAGCCCTGCGGCTTTGCCTTTGACCCATCCCAGGCCACCTACTACCAACTCCAGAACTTTGACAACGTGCTGCTGACTTTTAACACGCTCTTTACGCTGTTGATTGTGAATAATTGGCAGCTTGTTATGGTATGTTGTAGGGATCTCGACGCGATGGCCTCTCTTTGTCACCGGATCATTCTCCCTCGCCCCTTGCGGCTGGCTCCTGCTCTTTATCTTTATTTCTTTTTGATCTTGATCTTGTATTTGACGATTTGACGATTTGACGATTTGACGATTTGACGATTTGGTGCACATAGGAAGGACATGTGGCTGTGGCACCCGGCAAAACGGCGGCACGCATCTTCTTTTTTGTGTTCTATCTCTTTGTCGTTTTGATTGTGCTCAACATTATCATTGCATATCTGCTGGATGGTACGTCCATGTTGCTATGGAGGAGAGCTTTTGGCCGGCGTTGGCTTTTGGTGGCATGGAGAGGGTTTCATTGCAAGTGGGGTTGTTGCTTAGGGTTTCTCAAGCTGCACGGGTTGCTGGAGAAGCACGCGGAGAATGACTTGAGTGAGGAGCAGCGGGAGCGATCGCGCTTGGCGCAAGAGTCGGCACTTCAACGGAAAGAGACTGCCAGGCATGCCGAGCAGGAGGCGGGTCTGGAGGGCCAGGTCATTCGCCTGGGCTCGCATTTGCAAGTGGGGGCCACCGTAACCTTGGCGCTGTCCCAGCACGCGCTGGCGGAGCAGAATGCGGCACAGTTGTACGATTCGTTCATGTTAAGCGTGGCTCAGTCGGCATTTCCCATCTTGCAGCAATCAGCACTGTCCCTGCGCTTGCTGACCCAAGGGCAGACGGTGGTGATTTGTTCGGTGCCGACCCCGGCGGCGCTGTCTGTCATGTCTGCGGCTGAGCCGTTGGTCGAGTTCAAGCGCCGCGTATTGCCACTTTTGACGGAAATGTATGAGGGGCATCAACGTGAGCAGCGGGGCGCGGAAGAAGCGGCGGCAGTGTCATTGGACACAACGTCAGCGGTGTCACTGACGGGGGCTAGGCCGGGTCGAGAGGCACGCTTTACCGTGGCATTGGATGACGCGCATCGCTGCTTCCCCTCGGGGGATGCAGATCTGCAAGTGGTGGCGCTTTTGTCGCAGTATGCAAGTAGGCGAGCCTTGGATAGCGTCGGGTTGCAGTACGAGGCGAAGCGCGAGATCACGCGCGATTCGATTAGCCGGGCCTTGCAAGGTGAAGAGTTGGAATGGGCCTGCATCCAGGACGACAATCGGGCACGCATCCGTGTAGAACGAGACCCGTTGCATTTTTTCCGCTTTGATACGCTGGCAGCCGACGATCCCGCGCACGGCGAGCTGGACGAGGGCTAAAGCTCTTTTGGAATCTGCACGTTTCTGCCACGATTTTCTCCCCCACGTTCCCAGGGCTGATGTGTGAGTTGTTGGCTTTTTTTTTTTTTTTTTTTTGGTTTTTTGTTAAACGCGAGTATCTACGCTGTTGTTTTTATGTGAACTATTCTGCTGCAGCTGCCTCTCTGGATCGCAGCGACAGTGCTTTCCTAAGACGCCTCTCTTTTCTTTTTCAAATGGGAGGCGGCCGGTAGCGCGATGAGAGCTTCAAGTGTTTTGCTTCTTTATTCTTCTAGTCAGTGTGCAGGATTGTGTGTTGGGCTGGGCTGAGCCTCGCATGGCATGCAGGAGCTTGTGGCAACTAAGCATGTGGAGGAGAGAATTGAACAATAGGTGATGAAATCACTTCATTTCATCACAAAAAAAGGGGTGTGGGAAGGAATCATGATGGCATGCGTGTGATGAACTTGGAGGGCGCCCTGAAGGGCCAAGATGGTTTGAAGGGGAGCTGTTGAGGGTTGAAAAGTGGATTTGGGTAGGCACAAAAGCACAATTGGAAAAGGGGGGGATGGAGGTACGGTAAGGATTTGAGGTTATGGAGGCCTAACGTGGTGATAGGAGAGAAGGCGAGGGAAGCGCAGCTTAGAGTTCACCCGACTCGAGGTACTTGTCGTACTGCTCCTTGGTCATGAAGGAGTCGACGGCAGCGAGATCCTCGGCTTCCAGCTTGAAGATCCAGCCTTCAGACTCGGCAGCCTCGTTGATCAAGCTGGCCTGATCACGCAGTGCCTCGTTGACCTATCACGAAAAGCAGAACCGGGTTGAGAACTCAGATGAAGAGCGATGGCGAGCTGAAGAAGAAGAAGAAGAAGAAGAAGAAGAAGAAGAAGAAGAAGAAGAAGAAGAAGAAGAAGAAGAAGAAGAAGAAGAAGAAAGGGTCGACTTTTGAAGCAGGGTGTGCAGAAAACAGGTTGTGAAAGTGGGTGTTTTGGCGCACCTCGGCAATGGAGCCGGCGACGGGGGCGTAGATTTCGCTGGCAGCCTTGACCGATTCAACAGCAGCGGCATCCTCTGTCATTGGGGGAAAGAAGGGAGACGATGATGCGTCAGGGTGAGACTAGAAGGTAGGTGGGGAGGGGAGCAAGAGATGGGTGGGAGCGGGGTGTGGGCAGGGGGGTGTGGGCGTACCACCAATGTCCTTGTCATCACCAATTTCGGGAAGGTCGACAAAGACGATATCACCAAGAGCCGACTGGGCATAGTCGCTGATGCCAACGGTGACAATGTTACCAGAGACCTCGACCCACTCGTGAGACTCGGTGTAGCGCTTGGCTTCAGGGCGGGAAAGGTGGGGGGAGGAGGAGGAAGGAGGGTGAGATGGCGAGATGGCGAGATGGCGAGACATGGATGACGTCGAGGGGAGGAGGGGCTGAAAGAAGGGGGTGGGTGATGGGTGGATTGAGCACGTGTAAATCAGGGAGCGTACCGAAGAGAGAAGCCGAGGTGGAGAGGGGGCGGAGGGCCAGGCGCATGGCCATGGGGGCGGCGGTACGCTGCAAAACTTGACGAAGAGCCATCTTCTTGTTTGTGATGAAGAGCTGAAGCGTGTGCCGTCTAATTGCGAGAGCCTGGAGCAGACAGAAGCAGGAGGCGGGAGGTGAGGCGGCGGCATTTGTTGCAAATCAGACCGCCGCACTTGATGCCAAATTGATATGCGCGCGCGCGCGCGCGCAACATCAGGGTAAAAGGGGGCTACAGCACAGAGTCTGGAGCATGATGGGAGGCGCCACGACCACTCGCCCTCGACGACAGCACGTGATGGTGTGTGTGTGTGTGTGTGTGTGTGTGTGTGTGTGTGTGTGTGTGTGTGTGTGTGTGTGTGTGTGACTGTTTGCTGGGAGTCGATGCTTGGAAGCGCAGCGGAGACGACTGCACAGAGGTAGATCGGTGCAAAGACAGTTGCGCAGTCCACGTGCCCGCCACCACTCAAGACCCGCTGCCCTCACCACAAGAAAGAGAGAGAAGAGAGAGAGGGAGGGAGGAAGAGAGAGAGAGAGAGACGGAGGCAGAGACAGAGAGAGAGACAGAGAGAGACCGAGAGAGACGGAGACAGAGAGAGAGAGAGAGAGACAGAGACGGAGACAGAGAGACAGAGACAGAGAGAGAGAGGGGAGAGAGGGGAGACAGACACGGAGAGATGAAGAGAGACAGAGTGACAGAGATAGAGAGAGGCGGAGAGAGGCAGAGACAGACGAAGAGAGACAGACAGACAGACAGACAGACAGACAGACAGACAGACAGAGAAACAGAGGCAGAGAGACAGAGACAGAGAGGCAGAGACAGAGAGGCAGAGACAGAGAGGCAGAGACAGAGAGGCAGAGACAGAGACACACAGAGAGAGAGAGAGAGAGGGCGCGAGCGACCAACTGACACACGTTGACAGCGGCCTCACCGCGAGAAATCATGTCCACTCACACACACACACATCCACAAGTCAAGGCCAAACCAGATCCAAACAGCGCCACCACAAAGACGCAGCGCCACCACCACCACCACCACCACCAGCAGCAGCAGCAGCAGCAGCAGCAGCAGCAGCAGCAGCAGCAGCAGCAGCAGCAGCAGTGTGTGTGTGCGGCGACGTTACCTTTTGAAATGGCGATCGTTGCTGTCAGTCACACTTCTCTTCTTACAAAAGGACTTTTGACGCGCCTCTGATTCTCTGGCTCTTGTTCGCTTTCTCTCTGGTGGGCCGATGTGATTGTGCTGTGTCCCTGGGCTTCGTTGGGGATTAAGCTGTATTTCCTCGATCTGTGAGGTCATGAAACAAGGCGCTCTCTGAAATGGGGTTGCACATACGTCTCCTCTCTTGTTTCAGATCGCCTCGCCCTCTTACTCTCATTGGTGTAATCGCCCAGCTTGCGAAAACGGGAATGCTTAAAGTCCTGCTTTTCCTCGCGAAACAATACGCGATCACAACAAAAAGAAAAAGGGATGATGCAACACCCACGATTGTCTGACAATTCGTTCCGGAACACGTCGATACAACAGCTGTAGTTTACTGTCCTCTTCCCGGTAAGACACACGGACAGACAAATCC